CACCAAGAATACCCATTAGTTTGATAGTCTCTTGTCGCAATGGTCCTCGTTGTGGTTCTCCTCGAATGATGTTTTGCAAGATTTCCAAAAGTCGAGGGTATTCCAGATATGGCTTAATGACATATCCTGAGTTGCTTGCCAATTGACCTAAAGTTCGTAAAGAAGCTTCACGCTTGGCAGAAGAGCTTTGATCCTGCAAAGCTTCGATGATTATAGGCATGAGTTGCTTGATGAATGGAATCATGCCCTCTCCTCCAACACAGGCAAGTTCACCGATAGCCTTCATAATTGTGGCGGCCACAGCTGGACTAGGATCGCGAGCTTTAGGCAATAAAACATCCATCATAGGAGTAACATATGGTTTAATCAATTTCTGTGAGTTTTGAACGAGCAAGCTAAGCAGTTTAGCGCTTTCTTCTTTGTTTCTCGCTACGTCGGAGAACTCGAGTTCTGTGAGCATTTGAATGAGGACCTTTCTCAAAGAAGGAATGACATATGCAGGATTTACATGCGTCAAGCGGCCAATAATTGTGATTGCGACTTCACGGATTTGGAATACTTCGTCATTCAAAGCAAAGAAAAGAGTTCGAATGTTCTCTGCTTTGGCAAGATGTCGATCGAATCGTTCGTCAAGAGCAGCTAGAACCACTCTTCGAATGCTAGGATCCGGATCTCCAACACCGACGGTAAGTAATTTCTCAATAACTTCGCTAACAACTTGAATAGCATGGTGGCTCGTTTGATTAACAATAGGATCTCGGACATAAAGTTGACAGCACGTCAAAGCAGCTGCCTCTCTAATCTCTGGATTCTCGTCTTCCACATATTTGATAGCAACATCACGCACAAATTCGTTTAGAACATGTCCAGAAAAGTCAAAACTGCCAAGAGTATTAAGGGCTAGCTTGATTTCGCTTTGGCGGTGCTCATATGCTTGTGGGTCTTTTGAGTCTTTTGGCACGACTGGCGCAGCGGCAATGTTGTTTGGTGTAGGGGCTCCAAGGGGTTTGAATGGCTCGCCACAGAGAACCTTGCTCAACATGTCCAGCAGTCTTTCTTGGATGATAGGCTTTACTGGTGGTATATAGAAAGCCATGTCCACCAAAGCTTGAGTCAACTTGGGACTTAGCTCACATGCGAATATGGGGTCTAAAAGTGCCTCCATATACTTGCTGAGGGTTTGCCCAACTGCGACTGCTAATCTGCTGATGCAATCAAAGACTGGGTCCACTGTGCCGAGTCGCCTTCTGAAAGGAATGGTTAGCATGCATGTTTACATGAGATTCCGGCATAACTTACGACTTCAGCGACAAGCCTTCTCTGACATATATCAAAACTCCATCTAGGTAAGAGGCAATAGCACTTTTGACAGCATTGGCGATATTTCCAATAGCCAGAAATGCGTCATTTCTATCTTTGTCCTTCTTGAGCATACCGGATAAGAACACCATAAACCTGTGAAGGTAGGATTGAGCAAACTCGGTAGGGGAATAGTTCGCCAATTCGGGTATCAGCATAACAACGGTTTTACGAATCTGTGCGTCTCGGTGATCTTTGTGTCGGAAAACAATTTCGCACACTTCCGGATAATGCTCATGCATAAACATACCACCTTGCTGAAGAAGCTCCTTAATTACAAGAAGGGATCCATGGATATATTCCACAGTCCCTTGTCTCACACCCTGAACAGCTTCATCATATATTTTTGCCTGCCATGTCTGTCGTAGAGTTGGATCTCTCTCCCTAATTATCTGGAAGCATGCACTTATAGCTTCTGCTGCAGTCTGTCGGATGAGAAGTCGCTGATCTCTCAAACCTACCCATATTTGATCGAATATTAGTCCAACAAAAGTGTAAACCAGTGTTGGAGAGTTTCTGCCCAATTCTCGCAAAACCAGAACCGCGCTATATCTTTTTTCTTCGATTCGATCGGACTGCAAGTATTCCAGGGCGGTTTTGATCTCACTCTCCACCAGGTCCGACACCAACGAACCTCCAGGCCGGCACATCTTCCCCAATGCCATTGCCGCCGGTTGCATAGGAGCAAGATCCTTCCCTCTCAATATATTTCGAAGGGATTGTCCAAATCGAGTGACTCGTTGTCCGACTTCTATACCGTCGAAATCGACCAGCGCATCGATAGCATATATACCACCGGTTCGCTCAACATCTCCATGGTGACCGATGAGGCTGGTGATTTTTCCACTGACAATATTGGAAAACTCCGTGTATCGTTCCTGGGGAAAGTCTACCAGAACATTGATTAGTTTCCCGTCCCAAAGACTAGTATGAAATGAGAGCCTCACCTCTGGAAGCCACCTCCAGCAACTCTCTCAACTCCAAGGCTGCTCTCTTTCGTTGTTCATCACTCCTACATCCGAATTATTAGCTACCAACACCGCATAGCAATATACTCAGTTGCGTCAAGCTAACCGTGATCGTAAATCTGCCACAATGCGATTCAAGGCATCAAATGCTTGATTAGATTGTTGTGACATTTTGGCCTCTTTTCAGAGCTTCTCTCTCAATGGGTGAGTTTGCAGTTCAACCAGCAACAGTGTTATGCGCATTCCATCCTCGTCCTCGTCCTCGTCCTTGTGCGGCTATCCAGCTGAGTAATTGTTTTCGTAGTGGTAGTTGTGTTTGAATAGACCAGCAATTCGATTATGGGCAGGCAAAGAGTTTGAAATGCTCACTGTCTTATAAGATACCTGGGTAGTTGTTAATGACGGAGAGCTCGATGGTTTGATGCCGAACAGACGAGTTCGAGGTGAAAAGTACGCTAAATCACACATTCACTAATACGGTGCGTGGCGATAACGATCTTATCAGTAAAACGGTAAGACCGCCTCAAGCACTTCAAAGACCGCCTCAGTCAAAATGTCAAACCATCCATCTTTCCTACGTCGAAAAAAGAAAAAAGACTTATTATTTCGTCTCACTCATCAAAAAGTCGCTCCATGAAAACCATTCGTTCCATATCTTCAAGGGTTTGAATTTTATACCAATACAGAGCACTTCTATTTCCTCGTCATGGGTAACGATGGTGGAAGTATTCCTACTCGTCGCGAACTTGTAAAAGAAGCCGCCCGCAATCCAAATACTTCAGAATTAAAAGCTACCCTTCACGAATCACAGACACACGCCTGGACATATTGTCCTCTCTCCAATAAACCTCTCACTACGCCTATCGTATCCGATTGCGCCGGAACGCTCTACAACAAAGATGCCATTCTCGAACAATTACTTCCTAAAGACGATGATGTCCCCGCTTCTGTCATAAGGGAAAAGGAAGAGATTCTGCAGGGACGAGTTAAGGGACTTCGCGATATTGTAGAAGTCAAGTTCTCCACGGTCAAGGAAGATAAGGAAGAAAAAAGGATATGTCCTATAACCAGTAAGGAGTTGGGAGCTGGTACCAGAGCTGTCTATTTAGTGCCTTGTGGACATGCGTTCTCAGAAGTTGCGATCAAAGAATTAAAAAGTGATACATGTGTGGAGTGTAATGAGGGATATACTGCGGAGAATGTCATATCTATACTTCCCATATCGAAAGAAGATAGCTCAAGATTGGCATTGCGAGCGAGTAAGCTGAAGGAAGGAGGATTAACTCATTCGCTGAAAAAAGCTCCAGGGGGAAAGAAGAAAAGAAAGCACGCGACAGAAACAGAGTCTGCGGTCCCCTCGGAAACTGGGAAAGAAGACTCTCTTCACAAAAGCCAATCTCGAGCGAAAGAAAATGGAGTGGCCGACAAGACCCAGGCTCGAATGCAAGAGAAAGGAAATGGTCCAGCGACAACAAAGTCAAATAATGGACCATCCACGGTACCTTCAGGTATCAAAAATGCATCAGCGGCAAATCTAACAGCCAAAGTTTTGGAAGAGCAAGAGGAACGAAACAAAAGACGAAAGTTGGGGATGAATGACAATCTCAAGAGTTTGTTCTCGAATACCGGATACAATGCACAGAATCAAAAGGGTGGGGATTTCATGACAAGAGGGTTCTCGATGAACAAGAAATCTTAAGAGAACATGGTACAGGAAAGGCGTGGCGTTAGGTGTTGTTGGTTAGGGGCTTGGTTTCTGTGGGATATCGTCCCCGATTTGTAAGATACATCATATGCCAATCGACAATTGCATGATATCATTGTTTTCCAGAGCAGAATCGTACTAGGTGGTTACGGAAGCTTTTGCGGGTGTGGATGAATCAATAGTCACAACCCTCTTCCTCTTCCCCGTATCTATAAGAACCATGAGAGCCTCTCTGTTAGTACAGAATTGCTCTCCATATACTAATATACTTTCTATGTTTCGTGTCCTCTCAACGCACCAGGTTCTGACTTCACTCTCAATTCTACATTCTTTGATATAATCGACTAGAAGTATGTTTTGCATTCAATCAAGCATTCTGGTTCATAGAACTCGACCAACCTGGACCTATCCCGAAATCCCTCTAATTTTTATATATACACTTTCTGCTCACCATATATCCCAGGTGACATTCATCTTCGACCCCAAGCTTTCATTCCATATAGATGCCATTTCTCCAATCTCTTTGTTGCCCATTCCACTATTGCATACTGAAGCTGAGCTTGGCGGAACGATTGCAAGGGAAAATCCGCTCTGGTTAATCATCTTGCTTAGTTTATATGCTTAAGTGGTTTTGAATCCCTACCTTGAATCTACCGGGGCAATACATTATGGAGAGCGATGTTCAAGTATTGCGTGCGGCTGACGCTTTTACTTTTGTTAGCAGACCAGCATCTGCACTATGTTAAATAGCCGAACGCTCACGACAATGACGAATGAGGCCTGTGAAAGGACATTTTTTCAGTAAGTATTTCCCATCATCGTCTCTAAGTAACTCTGATCCAAATCCCATTTCATCTTAAATCGATTAAACTTTTACCTCTCCATTGAGTTTACCCACCATTCTCCCACCTCTTGTACCTGGTTCCAACTCCCCTTTTATAATCCAAATTGCCCTCCAAGCACTCCACTCACTCAGAATTCTCTCCTCCTATTCTCCTTCTTCCAACCTGTCCATTGAAGCATTTTCCCGATCTCAACAGATATGCTAAACTCAGCCTCGTAACGCCCGCCCCTTTTCCCGGCGCAGTAACAACACGATGGAGTGAGCTCCGTAACATTCCACCTGTCCATTCGACCATCATATTTCCGGTATTTATCAGTGCGCAGCCTGGGACCGGACGGATGTATTGCCAATTCTCGTTACAGTTTTCTGCTGAGGAGGGAAGAATTTGTAGACCCCCTGCGATGTTGAAGAGCATCATTATGGTTCCAATATCTGTATGGCCACCCAATGTGATCTGATGATCTTTTGTAGATGATTGAGCACGATTAATTAGCATACGTAGAGAAATATCCGATTCCTTGTCTAAAGTATTCAGGGACATTAGGATACCAGATGCGAGACCCAGATGTTCTTCAAGGTGGGTTAAAATGACTTTCAGAACTCCATGGACGTGATAGAATAATAATTTACATTGTTCACGGTGAGTTTTGAATGGCAAGGGGTTTGCACATGGTGAACTTGTTCCAGTATGTTGTCTTGCCCGAGGGGATGCATTGCTATGTTATCGGGTTTTCCGTCGTCGGTCTTTAATATACCAGGAGGTTCATATCTAAAGGTATTGTAGGTTAATCGTTCATTTTTTTCCCAAACTTAAAATGTTGAATCAGCAGTGGGTGCCCAAACGAACGGATCTCCGCAGAAACTGAAATTAGCAGTATCTCTTGAAAAATTGATTCAAGTGCTGCGAAATTTGGCTTTATAGTATAAGATGAATCAACCAAACCTTACGAGGTTTCAGTCTTCCTCAAGAGTCAAGAAGAGATTAAATTTATCACAAAACATGGAAAGTTGTGAAATATCCCGGGATTCTCACCACCCACAAGTGAACACTTCAATAACGAGTAAGATGAGATAAAAACTTACCCCAAGATACTTTTTGCGGGTTGATATGCGCATTTCTTCAATACTTCATGATCAAGAGTAAGTGTTGATTTAGTAATGACAAACACCTTCTCTGCATCGAATAGCAAACTTTCACCTTGATCGCCATTTCTCAGTTCCAAGAGGAAGAAACCAAATTCTTTGCATACCTGAAGACCTTTTCGGACCCTTCATTCACATTTTTTTGAGTTGGCTGAATGAAATACTTGGAATGCTGGCAACGTTGAGATCGGCTGGAAACTCGGGATACTGGTTGAAGTACTCAGAAGTACCCATGATAACGTGTCTTTGAAGAACAATAATATCGTGTAAGAGTTTGTTCTCAGGTCAAGAATATTTGACAGATTCATGAATGAGTATTGGAGCGTGAAGTACTCCATTAACATTTACGCTTATACTCATCGCAAATCTACATCAGTGTTGCGAAATATAGAATGATGCCCATTTGTCAACTGGCCATATCGATCGTTTCATTCCAGAAAGGGAAGAACTTGATGAGTAAAAGAATGAACCAGGCATCAAATCCGCCGGCTTGCGTCGGCGACCAGTGCGACACTTGTCGTCTTACACTATGGAGTTTCTATCGAAAGAGAAAACTGCACGACGGCTGTTGGTATTGGTTTCTCCATGACCTCTAGTCGATTTAAGCTTTCCTGCAGTCTTTCCATGAGGCCTAAGTAGAGGTTTGGACAAAATAAGATGGGCCCACCTAGCATCTTTCATCTTCCATCGATTTAATAAGATATCATCGGATGAGTGGGGCTAGACATAAACAATGATATGTTTGCTCTGTATTTTACGAAGCAAGCAAGCAATCCAACACATATGGATCGAATATGTCCACGCAATATTGTCTTATGTAATGAGACCAAATAGGAACTCCAGCATGGGAGCAAAGCGAGTATGAACTAGAGAGCACATATTGATGAGACTCTATCACTCCAGGAAATGAGCAGAAATGGTAGACTTGAAATCTCACCCACTTCAAAGCATCAAACAGGATGCTGTTAAGAATTAGAGTTAGATAGATTAAGTCTGCAATCACTTTAAAAGCTTGTTAGAGCCGTAAAGAAACTAAGCTACCAAGGTGTGTCACCAGACCCCTCCTCTGTGATCATGAATCATGAATTGTATGCAAATTGCACGATTCATTGAACAAGCGAAGCAGCAAGAAAGTGTGTGGTACAATAGAATGTAGCGATGCTGTCGTCTATGTCACAGCATGGTGCATAGCGGAGTACATATCGTGATTCAATGAGATGCACTCATTCAATAAAAATCATCCGGCTGTATACCTTGTCATCTTGCGGATCTCACACGAATGAATTTGGGAAAATGAGAGCGAGTGATAAGACTCAACAATCATTACACTTTCAAGTTTTGTTGCTTGTCTTACTTTTCTCCTTTACTGACACCAGCGAACCTCAAAGTCAGATGGCATGAGTGTAGATTTCGAACTCAGACCGACGGAAAAACTTATCTTATACTGCTATACTAGTTGCCTCAGAGGCCGAAGATCGTTTGGTTACCTGTCGTCAACAAAAGAGCCTTTGGAGTATCAATTTACAAATAGATTGTAATCTCAGATTTACGTTTGAGTGGTTGCAAATATTGCAATATACCTGAACATGTCCTAGCATACACGCACACGATATGGAACTCTTTTGGTCAACAACAGCAGATTGTATTCAGATGCAGCAAATTGCATACCACCGAAGTTGATAACTTGAGATATAATTACAGCTTACAACCTGTCTTGGAGTACTACTATTATACACTAGTTTTAAAATGATTTTCTTTGATCTCTATCCAAACGAAGAGCAATCTTTCGAATATTCTTTCTACACCAACCATGTTAGTGCACCTCACCTCATTCGTGCTATCACTCGACTACCAAACTCATATCAAACCCGGGCCCATGAAACGTATGAAAACTGTGCTTTGACTAAGTACACTCACGACGTAGTACCCCGCATGCAAGCGTCCTTAGACTACCTACTGATACATAATCTCTTGTACTGGGGTTTGACAGCATGAAATTGTGCTCACGGGAGTTTGATGTTCGTATGGGCACTCGTACGAGTATGTGGATTTAACCGCGAATCCTGATTGTCGCACTGCACTTCGATATGTATGATTGATATCCCGCTTGAGAAGAAAACGTGAAGTGAAAGCTTCGGAAGGGATGGAGGTACGTAAGCCTTTATGGCCAAGAAGATTAGGTTAACAAAGCAGCCGGATCGTGAAATTTTGGATGTGAGGTATTAAGAAGGTATCGTCCATTCAAAATATAGCATGGACTCAAACCACAAGATGATCATTTCTTTAGCAGGTAGGTTGATTTCCGAAAGGAAAGAAAAAAGAAAAACAACTTATGGTGGGCAACTTTCCCCGGATTCACTAGATCTGCCTACCTGATCCTCTCCACCTCGGCATCTTCCCGCTCTCGCCATTATCATGCAATGCAACCGGCCTGATATCCTCTGCTACTAGGTATTTGGCAGATAACGGCGCATGCCGATACTTGGGTACTTAGCACTTTATTTAAATCCTAGTTATACATGAACCAAGAATATCCACGTTATGTTAAATCTAGACTTAGATATCAAACAAGAATTGAGCACTTCCCGATATTCGAAAATGGTGATTAGAATGGATGGGCCTATATTGTCAACTGAGCATGTGAGGACTTTCCTTATAGAGAAAAGGCTTTGCTGTAAGCTTATCGATGTGCATTGTCCGTACCCTGCATTACTGGCACAAATATATGGTGTGCACTTTGAAGGAGTTCACAGCACTGCAGGTGTTGGAATTTAAAGCGGCAACTTGCAGCATCTGTGCCTTTGCCAATTCGACAGAAATACGTAGTGGTTTGCTAATTGTTTTCATTGACGCGTGTTATTATTGCGTTTCCCTTTCGGAATCAAATCATTTCGGGACAGAACGCAAATCTCCGAGGGTATGGTGGTGGAAGAGAGGGATGAGTTGTGAAAATCGAATGCGATGTATCATTTTACCCTGAGTAGCAATGGGCCTGACTGAGTAGCCTTGCAAGTCTTCTAGAAGGACCAATACACCAAGGGCTCTTACATACTCCGTAGTTGACAAAAAGAACCCAAGGATTCGGAGCGCTCAGCTCCCAAGAGATTTCAAACGTCATGTTATTTCCCTCCCCGCCTTCGCCCCGCTCGGGAAAGAATTCATTTCCGTGATTCTCTTGTCTCGGCCGTTCCATTTCTGCTGGCAGGTAATCAAAGGCCTGGGTGATCGCCATGTATTAAGATGATTGGAACCGGGAATGAAAAAAGTAATTACCATTCCTGGCCAGGCAAATGGAGGTGGTAGATCGTTCAGCCTGATAATTTTCCTGGCGATCTCAATGCTTGATTGGTGAGACGGATCATGTTCAAAGCAGACGTGAAAAAGGATTCATGAGCAGCGATGATGTATATAATACTGTATGCTTTAAGAATTACACCGAACAGGGAGTTTGGATATTGTGTCGAAACTTTACGATATAGTAAACAAGTTGTCTATGTAAGGTTTCTCGGTGTGTACTTAGAACGGTTTGTACGGAACATATACTTTTCGATACCTCGAGGTTGATACTTGTTTGGGTACTTGTTTGGGTAATTCTATCGAAGCTTGGAAGTTGGTCGGAACTCGGGCCTTATGACTGAGTGGACCACCAGACGAATCTTATATCGGCTAGGATCAAGGGGTGAATGAAACCTCGGTCATCCGTCACCCATCACTCACTGAGACTTCAAGCATTTTGCCTCTGATTGATGACTACTGTATACACACAGTATGTGAATCAATGCTGTGAATGAATGGTTCGTGAGCTTTTCGATTGATGTTGAGACAGTAAAGTAAGACATAGGATGTAAAAAGCAAGTACCCCGATGATTTATGATATATGAGACAAGAAATTGATATCCACTTCCCGAGCACTTTTGGTGATAGTAATGAATCAGATGAATTCATGGGGTCATTCTAGAAAGGGAGGGGAAGCGCAGTCGACCTTGGAGGAGGCAGAGCAGACTATGAACGGAAAACTCTGGCGATGAAGGCTGGCTGGATGCGTTCATGAGATGATAATTGAACTTAAAATCCTCGTAAAGTAGTATTGTAATAACGAATTATCTTGGATAGCTCTTGACTTCTTGTTTCATATAAAGATGTTCTTCATCTATAATTTGTACAACTGTACGAGTACTCTGTTCTCCGTACATTCTTGTTTTTACACCGGCGTGATATGAACGTTAGTGTATAGTCGAGTAAATTATCGACCTACTTGCCGAAAGAGGATGATTGGATGAATGTTCGGAACATGCTGAGGGGAGAGAGGACCGAAGAAGGAAAAAAGAGGAAAAATGCAATTGATAAGCTGTTAACCGTCAAGAATGTCTTAACTTGGTCAAGTGTCAGGTACGCTCAGATACTTTCAGGTACAATTGATATTTGATTCGCTCGCGGGTGAAATCCGTCCCGTGCATTGCATATTACGATTACAGACTACGACTACAGACTACGACTAACTGGGTACCTAGTCTCTGGTCTAGTATTATAGTAGTAATACTGTAGGTATTGTGGTGTAGCACGCTTGTCGTGATCCAGCAAGTCAAGCAAGTCAAGCAAGTCAAACCCTAGTTCACAGGTTCAGGTATACTTAACGAACCCTTTTTCGTGAATTTGACACCCCCTTTGTCTTATTCATCGACGCGAGGGTCTACATTTCTGAGTTCACCTCATCTCATCTAATTTGAAATAAGTCAAAATTACATTACAATCAAAACAATTCTCACGTGTATACTCCGTCCGTACTCTGTATTTTATAATGCTTTCTTCTGACGAATTTGAAACCTCAAATAACCCTTACTGTGACACATCTGATGCTCATCCCCCAAAAGTAAATCGTGATGCACGAAAGTATAATTATACATCAAACAGTTGCAAGAAAAGTAAATCTCGGCCTAGTTATCAATGTTCTACAAATCCATTCCAAGGTTGATGAAAATCCCGAACCATCTGATGATCATGTTAACAGCAACGGACACATCGTCTTCTATTATACAGCGACTTCCTTGATTCCAGGCAAATGGAAAGTCAGCCCAAAGAATCAATCTACGGAGTAAATGGTTAGCCGTGCCGCTAGATCATCAAGTCTCAGTTTCAGGAGTATGCAGAACGTAGTTGCATCGAAGCTTATTTTCGAGGGCCGGTCGCGACGTTCACGATATGCTAAGATAATAGATAGAGTTTGGGGGCACAAA